TTAAAGCGTTCGCTCGTCACGACGAAGACTCGGGTTCGATTCCCCACACGGGTATAATGTGCGAAGCCCATTTCTGGGGTATTGCTGGAATATTGTTAGAAGCGGTGTAAAATCAAACTCACTCACTCACTCTTTCAGATAATCATCTACATGCACGTAATGATGCATTAAGTTACTCGACTAAAAGGAGAAAAAACCAATAAAGATTAAACAATTTAACCTCTGTGGTTGCTGTAATACTGTAGTCTCATTGAACATATAGCGATATTCTTCAAAGAGTTATGTTATTATGTACGGTGACAGTCTTCGACAGTAACGTACGTGCAACCAATTAACTTTTCTACAAAGTAAAGTCCATGAAATCTAAGTTGATCCTTTTGATCCTATTATGTTTACATGCTAATCAGTGTCGTTAAGCTCTGGGGATTAGCGATGACATTCAAATCTTTGAAGAACAAAGAACAATTGTCCCACGCAAACACTTTGAAGCACATATCATTGTGAGTGAGTGAGTATGGGTTTACGCCGCTTTTAGCAATATTGCAGCAATATCACGGAGGGGGACACAGGAAATTGGCTTCACACATTGTACCCATGTCGGGAATCGTCCTCGGCGTTACGAGCCAACGCTTTAACCACTAGGCTACCCTACCGTCCCGAAACACATATTATAAATGCACTGATGCCAAATATATGCAGACGCACACATTACAACAATCTTAGAATGAAGTTAAACTACTAACAGACACCATATGTGGGTTGATTCTGATCATAAACATCATTGCAAATGTTACACTTATGTATGGTCTTCGCGTTCGCAGTACAACCTTTTATAGGATGAATAGCAGTCGGTCTTTGCACACTTTGCATAAATCATGTCCTATTGGAAGACATTTGTTGGGGTCGTTCCTGATTCAGGAAAAAGCTCTTTGGTCACACGGTAGTTCAGCTGAAGAACAAACAAGTTTTTTTCCTCAAACCGCTCATGACAAAAAGTAATGCAAACACGCCGTTGCGGTTATACAAATTCCAGGGCCCAGGTCTATGTGTAGACGAAACAACGTGGTGGGTTTCCTCCGCATCCCACGTGGTGATGAACAACCAGGATTTGCGAGCTTTAATGTTTTTACGTACGTGATAAATCCTTCGTGAAAACCGTACATTCGACACACATGCAAGATAACATTACGGTACTTGATGGTTTCGGTAAAACATTTTGACAATTGAGGAAGACTATTTGCATATAACTGGTATTTTTGTATAAAACTCACGGATGTATATTTGTTAGACTCAGCAAATTCGGTGATGGTACAATGTACTGTGTGTAATCTTCACCACGCATCTATCGGTATTTAAAACGTCATGACTATAGCGTTGTAAGATACTGAGTGAGGGAGTGAGTGAGTTGGGTTTAACGCCTCTTCGAACAATATGTCAGTTATATCAGGACGTGTAACGAAATTTCCACTGGGAGTAAAAGCAAAATAGGAGTAGAAGGAGATAATTATTTAATGGATATCTAAAACTTAGAGATAATGCTCTATGTCCCCGAGAAGGGTAGGCATGTGCCACCCAACCAGTTGGACCCCCTATTCAAACACGTCACTTTTAGTGGAAAAACGGGTCAAAGGTTTTTGCTTCTCACGTTGGTGTGTTTGTTTTCCTGTACCAAGTAGACTTTGTTTTAGCTTTTCTTAATTCTACAATTTTTATAAGTAACAACAATGCAACAAACTGTTTGAGAGGCATTCTAGAAGTTGCAAGTAATAGGACTGACAAGTTATTATGAATGATCAACTTCTTTATTGTACAATAGCGGAAACCCTTATACGCATCTATACCGAAACGTCACCATTGTTCAATAAAGAAGTTGATCATCCATAAAGACTTGTCATTCCTATAACAATAAAATAATTGTGAAGAGTTATATCAGAGTGTGAGTTCAACCACAAACGCGAATCTTTGATACAAGATATGTTGATATATGAGTGATGGACACATATTATAGAAAAGACTCTTCCAGTCATTGATCTGAAAGTATGTGCACCACAATTCTAACCAGTGATATAGCATTTGTTTCTTCTCTTCTAAAAAATTTAGATCGTTTATATTGAACGGTCGAATTATTGCAAATCTGCTTGGCAATAAAGGAGATATTATCACATTATATTTTCCCCTTCGCTATAATGCTTAATAATCAAACAACACCCCTGCTTAAAGTAGAGTCCATTTTAAGATTCCGACTATATCCTAAGCATGTGGTTATGGTTCATTGTGAAATAGTGATGATACCTGGTGTTTGCAAAAATCTTAGCATGTGTCCAGAAATGAGACTCTAACATTCAACTGATGGAAGACGATGTGGCTAGTGTAGATTCTATAGTTTGTAGTTGTGTATTTTTATATTTAGATGATTTCTAGATTGATAAACACAATATATTTACAGTTCACAGACATGAAACTTGACTGCCACATAACCAAAGCCTTATTCACGTATGACATGGTTGTGACCTAACCTGTGTCCCCTGCTGTAAAGACACAATGAAATCAGATACAATATTCAAACAACCATGGTTGTGTACTTATTGAGGAGATCTGATGTGAAACACCAAGCATTTTCGCTGAACCTGAATCTTAAAGATTTAATATTTTGGGAATCAGTCATGCAGTTTGCATAGCCTGAATGAAATAAAATGAATCATTATCTGTTTTCGTAGGATATAATAAAATGAAATGAAACGAAATAAAATTGAAAGCTGATTGACTTTTATATAAACTGTTTGAGCATGTTTGCAATAATCTTCATGAGTAACTTCTTTGAGAGGCATTTAGAAGTTGGGGCAGTAAGGATGGATAACGGTATATGGATGAACAACTTCAGTGAGAACGACGTTTCGGTGCAGGTTCTAACGCCGTTATCAAGCAAGTGATGAAACGTCGCTCTCATTATTGTAATAAAGAAGTTGTTAATCCACATATTGTTATCCATCCTTAATCGCAAGTAATGTTTGCTAAAAGCAGAATCCACCGTGCAACTATGTAATAAGCATGTCCCAAATAGTCACCATCGAATAGTGATGGTACTATGTATTGTGTGAAGCCTTCACCACGCATCTAAAGACATGTATAACATCATGGCTATATCGTTGTAATATGTTGAGTGAGTGAGTGAGCTGGGTTTAACTCCTCTTCGAACAATTTGTCAGTTCTCACACTCCGGCGCAGTGATGACTTAGCATAACATCACTGCCACAGGCTAATTTGCATATCACGTGACCGGACTTGTTCTCTTGTTTGTAAACAAACGCGCACATTCACAATATGAAGAGACTGGCCTTACGCCAGCTTTTCGGCGCGCTTTTCACAATGTTTTACATTGTTACATATATATTCTTCCACAACTGCGATTTTAAGGTTTATGACAGTACATATTTAGATATCAAACTGGCGGCATCGTTTGCACTCCGTCGGCTTCGATGACAGCACGTGGAGCCGTACAACCAATGTAAACAAAGGATCGCTACGCAAATCGAAATAGTGTTACATGTTTTGGGATATTTTCTCAGTGAAACTGAACCGTTCAATTAGATGTGTAGACTCGTCAAAAATAAAAGAGTTAAGAAATATATACATAATATTGAATGGATTGTGTAAGATGTGACGAATCGTCACATCTTTCTGGCCGGTGGCAGAGGTACTATGCTGGCTGGCCGCATGGAACTCTGGGTAGGAGAGTGGTCAGTTATATGAGGGCGTGTAAGGTTGATGTCCTGAACAATTCATACTATGGGTAGGGTATAGTCCTGACAAACCAAGAAACACAATCAGGGCAAACTTATTCGAACCAGGGCTTTCATGCACACCTAAGGAGCAACATTCTGCACAGCGATTTGCGGCACATTGGACTGCAGGACCAACCATGCCATCTTCTGATGTATTGCATAGCACAGACATGATTAGAATGTTCGGTACAAACATCTGGCAGAGAATACAACTGATCTATACCTCTCACGTGTCCGCCAATTCATCCCTGGATGCGAATAACGCATCGGTACATCGGTACATCAATACAATCAATCGACAACGCCCAGTAGATGCTATACCCCAAACGAACAAACAAACTAACAAATACCCAACCATCACCCCCTCCCTGCATATACCGAAACAAAACAAAAACTAAACCACAACAAAATGCGAGCAGCACACTTAAATCTTTCTGCATTTATAATTCATATACCGATGATAACAAAATATGTCATTTATATGCACCCCCAACCCCCAACCCCCACCCCCGACCCCCAAACACACATACCATACGCACACCAATACAACTTTAATGACCTAAACATTGTGGTGCTATCAACGTATTAAAAGTAAGTTGACCAAAGACAGTCACCAAAGATAGTCCACGTATATTAAATTCTATTTTGTTATACGTTTGGTTTTAATGAACAGTAAAATAAAATAAATGAGGGAACCATTCTGTGTTGATATATATGACCGTAATGGACATCTCATGCGCGATTCATAGTTGTATATTTGTAAGAATCGGGTGTTTTCAGAACTATAAGCAGGTCAGATATTTCATTATGATGTTTTATCTCTTTTATCGCCATGCCTACTAAAACGCCTCACCATTAAGGTAAATGTAAATAAATATGGACTTTGGGAATATTTGGATACATATAAACAGCTATCAAACAGCAACGTTTACGAATGATAGAAAGGGCTTATTAGCCATAGTGTTTGTCAGCACACATATATAGGTATGGTGAAGCAGCCCATCCCATCGTCCACTGTTACTGTTTGATGCGTCAGTGTGTAATACGAACTGGATATAAAACGACAACGGCCAATTTTAATGTACGGTTGGGAAATTTGGGGAACAAAAGAAAGAAAAGTTTTAGAAATTATTCACACAACATTTTTTAAATTCATTTTAAGAGTTGGTTACCGCACAAGCAACTTGGCAACTTTCGGCGAATGTGGACGCCATCCCCTGTTTATTTACCAACAGCTAAGAGTTATAAGCTTTTGGTTAATGATAGTCGGTATGAATTGTAATAGATATGTTAAACATTGTTATTTACTCCGCTTAGCCACCTACTTGTATAAAGTATTCAGATCAAGATTGTAGAGTAACATATGTTGTGTTTGGGATTGCGCCCGCTTGGTGGGGGTGCGGATTCTCGTGCTTTTGTTGGGTTGGGTCCCGTACGGGATTCGGGCCCACACCCCTGCGTGCGCGGCTGACTTTGTGTGCTGGCGGTTGGTGCCTGGCTGTGGGGTGTAGGTCCGGGTCCTGGATTGGACTCGACCCGGCAGGGGTGCTGGAGTCTGTGCTTTGCTGGGAGGGCGTGGTCCCAAATTGCATTTGACCACATTCTCAATGGCATTGTGTACTGTAGTGCATATGGTAGTATCATAAGATTATAGCACTCTGAAAATGTATTTAACATCTTAAACTACATCTTAAAGTGTACTCTAGACCTCCTGGCCCGGAAATACAATAAACTTCTGTTATTCTGTAAAACGACAACGGCAAAGAATGAAGACATAGATTCTAATTTCGTTGTCAAGTAATGATGACATTAGAATCTACGTCGAAACGTCACCTTTCACAATAAAAGAAGTTGTATATCCATAAAAATTGTCATCATTTTCCATCAACTCAACTTCTAAAATGTCCATCAACGAAGACAAGGGCAAAGAAAAGTCTCGAGTTTATTCCCAAATTGATTCAAAGTGTGTAAATGGTATAATATTGGTGAAATTTATATGTAGGGATCGCTGGAAATCCGTGATGACACCAGGTGTTCACGGAAAGTTGAGCATGCCATAATACCAGCAGACTGTACCCGTGATTCGTCTGTCGGTCAGCGTTTGTCAACACCTCCGCTGTAGATAATATCACGAGATCAAGAAATGTAAACTTCTCAATACCGAGTAGACACGACAATTAGTCACGAATAAAATGACAGGGAAACCTTAAAAACTGGCATGAACGAATGTTTTTGCCATTTGCTGCGATTGTTTATGTATTGCTGTGAGGTTTTTGTTAAATCATTTCTTCAGTAGCGTCAAAGATGAGAAAAAATAAGATGTCGCTTCTTCCCTGAACATCTTGTATATACCCCTCACGTACATATGTAAATCTTGTTTTTCTCCCTGATGAACATGTACGATATCCTATAATTTCTCCTCCTTTTTTTCATGCATCACATGTACATATGTGGTTGTCATGAGCTCAGTCATACAATCGACGTATTACAATTGTCAGAGGATTACTTTAAGTGTTATTATTCAGTTTGGAATATATTTCGAAATATGGCATTATACTTTGATTTAGGAATCCGTTAATAAATGCAAACACATTCACAAACCACTGTTATTTTCCAGGACACCCCTGCAGGACAAACCACGGCAAGCTGATTCCCCACCCAAAGAACTGCCACTGGTACTTTAACTGCACAGAGACAGCTCTCATCCCTAAATGGAGGCATGGTGAACCGTTTGTCGCCGAATGTCGCTACCCGCAACTGTTTGACGCCAACATCAACAGATGTAGAGAGTTCATCAACGTGGAGTGCGGAAACAAGTTCGAGCCTGTCGACCCATGTGAGTACAAATGTCATTTTTCAAAATATAAGTTTCGATTAAGACTTTTGCCGTCAACAAATGATACTGACTTCCCATCATCGCCCTCGAAAGAAAATAATGTTCATAAACTACATACATAACTCCTCAAACTGGGAGATATGTTCTCGACAGGCTATCAATGAGACATTTGTTTCACCTATTCCATGAATGAAACGATCTATAAACCATGCAGCTTTAAACTGTAGGCATTTGTTTCGTCCTCTGATTGCTACGTGACAAAATATATATCTCCTTGAATAAAGCACAAGGAATAAAACACTAGGGAAATTTCTTCATTTTGGCACATCAAAATCAATTACCCTGTTTATATTTTGCGTGTAAACATCCGGTGTGCAAGCTAGCACTCGCGCATAACATCATGCAACTTAAGCGTGTTTCTCGTTTGTGCTAACCACAAATTCGATAGGTCTTCGATGTCACACTGGAGGTCTAACCTTTTAAAAATACATTAAAAGCGACAGACTTTGCATTTGGTCATTTCTATGGTGAACGTATTTGTAAACCTTCGTTCAATATTTACTGCCTTTACAATTCAATACCCGCTGAGATATAATGCAAGTTTAATAGGGATGGCATGCTGCAATACTTGACGGTAAAGACACGTGCCAGTCTCTAATTTCCTGAAGTTTCCATCAGAGAGTGAACCGTCAGAAGTTTAAGCAAACGAAAATATTGGCCAGTTTTACAATTCTACTTGAAAACTAGACGAAATGGACACAAATGCATACCTATTTTATTACAAACTGGAAACGCGGTTAATTTATCAGCAGTGCTGCGAGGTTGTCTGGTGGGTAAAGAGTTCTCCCGGGTTCTATTCCCAACATGGGTCAAATATGTTTGGATCTTGCTAAAAACTGTGTAAAGATATTGACTCACTCACTGAATGAATGTGATTTGTAAATTGTGGAATTCCATGGATTTTAACTGTACACAAAATGAATTCTTCAGCGTCCAATACTAACATATATTGTTTATACGTGTTTGAGTCCTTGTGTTCATCTTTACTTTTTGTTTATATTCAAAACGTAAAAATAACACGCATAACTTGAAATTTTGGCGCTCTTACAAAACAAATGTCACATGTCATACTTTGAAAAATTAGAAAATCTGACAAGTATTGCAAGACACATGATGAAGACGTCACATGCCAGTGTAAATGCCTGTAAAAATGCTTATACCAGTGAGAGAACAGAAGGATATTTACACGTAATGTAATCTGCAGTAATCAATGTGATCACTGTCAATATTTATCCAATCTCGCCCTCTCTACCCCCCTCCACTCTCTCCCTACTTACGCACTAACCCACCCACCTTTGGACCCACCCATTCACTCACTCACACACTCTTATCTATTATTCGCAATATTCCTTCATGCCATACGAGATGTTTCGGCAGTTGAAATAAATGTGAAACTGATTAAACCGTTGACTTGAATAGTTGTAGTGTCAAATATTATGAACATGAATTTAAACTTGATATGAAGTTGTATGTAAAGAAAAACATGCAGTGTGAAAAGTAACATATTACTTTGGAGAAGTTCGATAGCACATTACACACACAGACAGAAACACTTATACATACAGACATACAGACATACATACATACATACATACATACATACATACATACATACATACATACATACATACATACATACATACATACATACATTATACACACATACATCATACACACATACAGACATACATACATACATACATACATACATACATACATATATACATACATACATACATACATACATACATACTAATACATACATACATACATACATACATACTAGTACATACATACATACATACATACAGTACATACATACATACTAGTACATACATACATACATACATACTAGTACATACATACATACTAGTACATACATACAGACATACAGACATAGACATACATACATACTAGTACATACAGACATACATACTAGTACATACATACATCATACTACATACATACATACATACATACACACCGAGTTGTTTATATTATCTTCGTTATTTTTAAATAATTTTATCACATCGCGATATATTGTCATGTTTTAATAGCAGTTTTACCATCAGGGTAAACGTTCTTAGAAAACACCCTTTATTAAAACGCTTCTGTTATCGTAGATAACCCGACTTTTGTAAAACAAGAAAAGTATGTTATTTATACATTTGATGCAATCCAGTTAGAATATGAGGTACCTTATCTACAGATTACGTCAAATTAAACAAAACCCAAACTGTTTATGTCCCGGCCTTATAGCAGGAATATTGCTGATTGCGGCTTTAAACATCAAACAAGCAAAAATAAAAGTATATCTCCTGAGTTGATTCCTAATGATTTGTCAAAAACATTGCACTGCCTGTATTAGTACCAATCATGAGTATTCATTAACCATTTATAAAACATCTCTGAAATGAAACGGACAAATGATTCATCTCACATGTTAACCCAATACTGTAAACCAACATTAATCCCGCAAAACGCTCATATGAAGAGAAAGAAACCAACATCTGAAGTCATTGTTGTGTCTAAATCTTCGAAAACTCCACCAGAATCTTTGAAGCTTTGAAAGCATTATTGTTTGTCTGTTGTGTAACTTTGCAATGTTCGAGCTATATGGCGTCGGTCTGTAAATAATCGGGTCTGGACAAGACAATTCAGTGATCCACAGCATGAACATCGATCTACGCAATTGGGATACAATGACATGTGTCAACCGAGTCAGCGAGTCTGACCACCCGATTCCTTTAGGCGCCTCTTAAACAAGCATGGATTGCTGAAGACCAATTCGAACTAATTCACAGGCTTTGCAAGCATTAACGTGGTATTTGTGGTTCTAGTGGGGAAACGGATCTAATGTATTTCTTAATATACATTTGCACCACACTTCTGTGCATAGGACTTACAAGTGCCTTAAAATTACAGCAAGACAACATGTCAGGGCAAAGAGAAACTGATAATACTAAATATAATGAACACACTACTGAACAGAATGGTACCATGAGTGATTGAAATATGCCACAGTTGTTGACATCATAAACCTGTTATATATATAGGTGTAGATTAACTTAAAATCTATATATTATTAACAAAATATTAAAGACTTTAAATGAATACATTTAATAATTCTGATTTATTCTGTTTATAGTTTTTTAAACTGAATTTGCCCCGAAAAACACACTTGCTACTTGCTGACATTCATAATGATTTAGCCAGCATTGTGAAAGACTTTGTGAACCTTGTAGGTGGCATCTCATTAAAACATAACTGACGTTCAAGTAAGTGATATCATAGCCATCGTTTTTTCATTGTGGTAAGATGTCATAAAAGTCTTTAATTAATAAAGAAAGAACAATAAAAGAATCGATTGAGGTATCCTTGGAATCAAAATGAACATTGTTTCACTTATATCAGTGCCTGTCAGTTTGTAGACTCACTCTTTATCTATAATTTTGAATTTTGAGTCTGCCATTTAAATGAGTTCTGTTAAACTAAAGACAGTTATCATTATCATGGTGCCATTCCTTTCAGCCGTGATTGTTTCAGTTGAAAGGGTGTGCCAGTGAGATGTGAGACCAAAGAAACATCTAAAACACCATTTGCGTTACAGAAACGTATGAGGAAATGTAATATAATATGGTTCAGGGACTGTTAGACTGACTTGTCAGTTTGATGTGGTATGGGATTTTAGATGAAAGTTTGGCAAACGTTAACACTTTAGACACCAAAGGTCATGACAATCTTATAGACAGACCAAGAAGCTACTCTCGGATTTGAACCCACGATCATAGGATCATGACAAATTAAGCCTCTTGTATCTGCAAATGCCAAATCACACATTGCCATAATAACTAGATTGCAAAACAACTGATTCCCTGCAGTCATATTTAAGTTAAATAACGAGACAAATCCTTGTCCTTTATCAAAACTAATATCTACCTACTGTGTCCGGAGTACGATTCCGACTATATCACATGCATGTGTTCATGAATCACAATCAAGTAGTGAGGACACCAGGTGTTTGCGAAAGGTGATCGTTTGGTGCCCAACCAGTGACATGTCATAGTATAAAAGGCATGTATACTACCCATCAAAAGTTTAGACTCACTAGTGTAAATGTAGCCACTTACTTCAGTCAACTGTTCAAAACTAGATTTTGCAAAATATTCCATACTTTTCAAAGGTACTGTTGTATTGTAAAACAAATTCGAAATGAAATGAGAAAACTCAGTGAAAATTGGCGAATTCTTAACAAAACTCAACACCAAAACCCAGCTGTTCACATGTACGATATTTGCACATGCGTTTGAGCAATTT